GTAATTTTCTGAAAAAAGCATGATTTCGAAAAAGGAATGCATAGCTATGTTTCCAACGTTGGCTTTAATCGAAATCCGTCAAAAAAGGCTGGATTTATAGAAAAACCGCGTTTCCTTTAGCATTTAAAGAAACTGGAAGTGCGCTCGATATATATTGGAAGTTACCCTATCAGCGCGTGCGCAATTTACACTACCAGCACACTTCGGTAAGATCAAACAAAGCTACACGGAGTTATCTTTTCCTTTTCTATTGCTCTTGTTTTTCTGTCTTTGTTTTTTTGTCTTTGCTTTTACTTTTTTTACTTTGCATTTTGAGAAACACAAAGAAAAACATCTAAAATGTGAGCGAATTTGGAAGTTATTGAGCTCTTTTTATTTTCTACGCTCAGGTTGACGTAAGTAACCGGAAGTGAAATTTCACCTCCTTAGCAACGCGCGCGAGCGCGCGCATAAATCGGTTAATGGGCCCTTAATATTGTATAGACACGTGTATCGTACTTGAAAATACACCACTCGTAGTATCCATACGAAACTACATCCGGGACCCGAGTAGCGAATTTTCCATATCCTTACTAGTGGGAATATTGATGACGTCATTTCCTCCTTTTTCGCGGTTGTTTGTGCAAACAGTCAGTTTGTCTATAGGATGAAAAGAAAACTACACGGTGGCTTGAAGATACGAATTTTACTTTCTCGTGCTAAAAACAATATTTTACCCACTAGATGCGCTCGATCGTAAAATATCGTTTTTACCACACTAAAATGAAATTCATATCTTGTCGCCGCCATGTAATATCCTCTGTACAGGACAATGATATGAAGATTGAAACATTCTGTTAACCCTGATTCTTTATAATCGCATAGAAAAAGCAGAAGATTGGACTTGTTTCTACGCCATTAAATATTTAGCTTATGATGTGGTTGACTTCAAAATAAAATGTAAAATATGTTACATAAAGTAAATTCGTAAACGGCCGTTTTTTTTTTTAAACATCATAGGTCCTATGCGCCAAGGATGAACACATATTAAGTGTGCTGACTTACGTTGGATGTTCTTTTTCCATTGTTGGCGTCTTCCTTACTGCTATCACCTTCTTGTCATTACCGTGAGTGCATAAAACAGATTTCTCTACTTTAAAAGTACCTACCGTGGCAAATATAATTTATTCTCGGTTTTTAATTGGCTCGAATTTAGCCTCTCCTGCCCGAAGTCAACAACAACAGTGGAACCTCGATATAACGAAGGGCTAAGGCACAGGCAAAATATGTTTGCTATAACGAGGTTCTTCTCCATACATTTTGCTATTACTGGTGTGAGGAATATCGATCGTTATACCGAGGATTTCGTTATATAGAGGTTCGTTAAATCGAGGTTCTACTGAATTTTGTTTTCTCTACAGTAAACAAACTAAGAAAACACCAAATAGACAACTGAATGAAAGAAGTTTTAATAAAACAGAAGTCACTGTGCTAAAAGTTCCTTATTGATTTTTTTGTTTTTTTTTATTTTGTAGGGTAATCAAATGTGACATCACAAAGATTCATTTGAATTTGTCAATCGCCGTTGGAGTTGCACAAGTCCTCTTTTTGGCAGCGGGATCCGAAAATCTTGTTCAGCGTGGGGTAATCAAAAGAGCATCTCATTGATCTGTTTGATTTCTACCTTATATAATTTAATTGTAATAGCGCAGATACGTTCTTGATTTAAGGAACAATTGTTATCTGCGCCAAAGGCTACACTGATACCAAAACGATCCCATACGAGGATTTCAAACCAAAAAAAAACCCGATCCTTCAACAAGTTTAACAGATGCTGTAATCAGTACATCTGTTATTGGACGCTGAACTGATCATGTTCCAACCGCGCGATGCATAAGATGTACAGAAGGCCAATCAGATTTGTTTTTGATCGTATAAGGCGGATCACGTTAGACAAATGTAGCTTTGGGCGAGAGGGCCATGGCCGCCTTAAAGAAGAGCACAAATTTTCTCCAAAACTTTCGTTTTCGCCACAATTCGGTCCAATTGACCATTCTTAGCCTCTAACGAGCAAAATTTGGCTCGATGAAGGAATTCATACACTTTTGGTTAATCGGGACATTAAATTCATGATTAGTTCTTAATACAAGATTTCGCAAAGTGAAGGTGCGGACCAAGAAAACCCGTGGAAAATTGCCTACCAATGCAAAAACAAGCGTATAGGACTTGGGAAGGAAGAATGAGTTCAAAACACTCCAATCTTTTTACCTCAGATAGATCGGGGCGAATGACAAGCACCTGGATAGCTTGGTCACGCGACCTACACACTCTGAGAGGCTGCTGACACACTATCATTGCTACAGCTCAATTATAGTAACAGAATGACGGGGAGAAAAGACAATATATTAATACTAATCCATTCATTGATCTCGAATTAAGTTAATGTCTCACTGAATAGGTTATCTGCAAACTCTACACTGGATTGCTATTCTACTGCTTTATGGCTGTATTCACATGGATGTTCGTTGAAGGAGTGCATCTTTATCAAATGATCGTAATAGCTTTTGTCAGCCGGAGCATGATCAGATTTTATTTCACTCTTGGCTGGGGTAAGTTTCCTCTCACCACCTAGGGCGTAAAATCTGACATCTGTTAATATTCGTTTTCTGGGCTTAGCAGGGTTTTAGGACTTGGGTTTGGACAGGGAAGATTCTTGAACTAGAGCAGATTTCTTCAATCCTTTCTCATACAGCTTTATAGTTTTCTCCTTCAACAGACTTGTCAGTGCATGATGCGTCTAAGTTTTACTACTCTACCGTTTATATAACATTAATCGCTTGCAATCTGTATGGGAATAGGATGTGCTTGTAGTTTGAGGCACTTGTCTCGTTGCGGTAGTAAAATCTCAATTTCCCTCCATCTTTTGTCCGCATGCAGTTCTGGCCCAGGTTAAGTCCTCGGACACTCCAAGTACAACGGTAATTGGTCAACCTCTTGCCATCTCAGTTTCTGAATACTTTTACTTGTGTCAAATCTTTGTTTAATGGGCCTGAATGAAAGCGATCGCCCAATAAAGTGTGCATATACTGTTTTAACCTAAGAAATTCGAGGACTAACCTTATTACTGAATGAGAGAAATAACTGTTTACAGGTCTTCCTGCTTGCATTGTTGTAATTGTTACAAGCATCGCAGGAGACGGATTTGGAACGTCAAACTTGTGAGTACTAAGCACTTTCCGTCGCTTTTGGCCAATTAGCTTATTAAACGCAACCGAGCTAGATTTTGTTTTAGGACTGCTTCCGTTACTGGTTCAGGTTGTGGGTGTCGCTCCTGCCAATTGTTTGCAAAATTTACAAGTCACTAAGAAGACATCTCAGTAATGTAGATTCATGTCTGTCACACTTAACTATTGTTAATTTTTTCCCTCTAAATTACAGTTGTTGGTTATCTCCAGTGGGTGGTGCAATCTGGGGCTTTGTTGGACCAGCGGTTGCAGTTATAGGGGTAGGTCTGCTGTTTATGTCCGTGAAGTTTCCTGGTTTATGGTGTGGATGTATGGCCTCGCGGCTTAACAAAAAGTAAAAAAAAAAACAACAACAAAAAACAACAACAAACAACAAAAAACAAAAAACAAAAAAACAACAAAAAAAAAAACGCCTAGCAAGAAAAAGTCTTTTGCTAAGCCTTTAAGCTGTAGTTAATTTTCTCACTGACCCGCAATAGCCGAATAATAAGAAAGTAAGGCTGATATTGAGGCCAGCTGGAACTCCGCGCCGATTGAGGAATAGCCTATGAAAAGAACTGTTATTTAATTACCTATGGAGGTAAATGTCATTGAGTGACACTACACCATTGTAATGAACACAATAAATGACTACTGACATATCCTAACTCCGGCTTTAATATATTTGCATGCCAGCGTCTTGAACGCATTTTTCAAGTCAAACTGCATTTCTTATTTGATAACATAAAACTTAACTAGTGTGGCTGGATAAACAGATTCTGAATTCTCCCTCTATAAATAGATCAACTTATATGTGTTGGTTTGTGTTCTTCGTGTTCGAATTAACATCAGCAAGAGAGAAGGATTGAGGGCTCAATTAAGGTGAGAATTTTCAGTTCGTACTCTTTCCTTAGGCTGGCTCCCTTTGCAAGAATTTTCGAGTTGAGCCAGTCAGTAATACCAGTCAATGATCTATTTATTATGGACGATTGTTAACACCTATTTTTACCTTCATTGAAAAGTAGAACTATAAGTTCCCAGTTGGGGATAGCGAATAAATTCGGAGAATATCTCGGATGGGACCGTAAAAATGAACGAAAATAATTCGACACACCTCCTACTTACATTTGTGTCTAAGAGAGTACTAATAAAAAAACTTGGAGAGACATTGACATTTATTTAGCTGCGTATAAGGCAGGTAAAACAACAAAAGAGTCGTTCTTTATGGCTGGGGCTCGTATATAAAGTATAGGCCGATAGTACAGGTATACTCTTAGTGAAAACGCCGAACTGGTGCTGGTAAAATGCCTCATAAGTTTAATTCAGATTATGTCTTTCTTTTTTTTAGAACAAGTGCACGTGTCTCCCTAGTCTTGCTACCTCTTCTTGGCATCTCTTGGTTTTTTGGAGTATTAGCAGTAAATGATCACTATGTTGTGTTCCAGTATATTTTTACAATATCCAACTCATTACAGGTAAACATTCTTACGTTGTAAGTAAATTTGAGTAATTTCTACCACATGATACAAAATCTAAATTTCCTACAAAATTGTCGAGCAGGTGACACGTGAATTGATTATGAAGTGTTATTATACTTACAGCTATTTTATCTCCACAAGTCAGGAGCATTAGTATGCTCAACTGCAGCTTCCATTTAAGTTTGAAATACTAAGAAACGATCATAGTCTCTTGGTAACCCATATCATGGTCAATTATCTTGCTTTCTACTAAGGTCTACTAAAGGTTCGTGGTAGATTTTTTTATTGAGCCACACATTTGGTTTTACTTATATTACTTCCGTTCGCAGGGACTGCTGATTTTCATATTCCATTGCATTGGCAACTCGGAGGTAATGTAGTACTTCAACTTCAACTTCTTTATCATTTTGCACTATTTACAAGGTTTTCATTAGTATCATAAATATAAAAAAGGAAACATTTGTTGATGGAAAACAACAAAAAGGTATGTGCTTGCATGTAACCATAGTCGGTTACAACACGTTAAGCTCAATGCGGTAGAACAAAAGTACATTACAGGAGAATACATTACTGAAAATACATTACAGAAAACATAAATCGATGAACAGTGAATTCACTGTGTCACTCATCCTAAGAGTGTACTATACAAAAAGTATATGCAGAGCAAAATATAAAGATATAAAGACAGAAGGTAAATGTAACTCGAGTTTCACGCACTAGTGATGATCGCTTAGTGCGTGAAACTCGAGTTACATTTACCTTCTGTATACATTACATATATTGCTACAAGTGACTATTATAAGAACCTAGTAGTAGAACAGCTGAAGAGGATATTAGTGACTGAACAAATCTTGATTGGCAAAATTAACTAACTGATATTGGCCTTGTGATTGCTATGCAGGTACGGCACGAATTTCAAAGAAAAGCTTCCCATCTGAATTGGATGCGGAGTCCTACCAGTCCCTCCTCTCTCAGTACCGCCCGTGTATCTCAGTTACCGTTAGAAGAGGTCAAGCCTAACAAAAAAAGGCTGGCTTGGGTCGACGGAAATATTTAGTATGGTAAAGATAGACCGCGAAGTAAATTAGCAAGTTCCAGGCGGCGTTATGAAGATGAAAACAAAACACCTTTGCTGAGTGAGTTATTCCAGACGTCTGCAAAGGGAAACAACTACTGGTGCTATTGTTTTCATTCGGTGCTTCTTTACGATAACTGACTTGCTCCAAGGACGTTTCCTATTCCTGTACTCTGTGTCGTCCCTTCAGGAGAAAACAAGCCCTTGAGGCGCCCTACTACACTTTCGAGGGAGCGAAAGAACTCAACACTAGTTGAAAACTATTTTTTTCAAAGCGGCGTTTAAACCTGCAGTTGCGTTTAATCAGATAAGAACTTCTCCACACCGTGCAAGTTCCCACAGGATTACTTTTACGCTTAAGGCTGCCGCACACTAGCCTATTTTTTGTCGTAGAACTGCAGATTTTTTGTCGGAGTCAAATTGGGTTAAAATTTGTCGGCCCATCAGCTTGCCACACACTAGCCGATTTTTTGTCGTGACTAACCGCGTTGAGGCTTGAGGCCGAGTCATCCAAAATCAAGATGGCGTCTATTCCACTGACGTGACTCTCAAGACATTTTCTAAAAGCTGGTTTTCAAATGACGTCACTAAAATTCGAACTACAAAACTATTGATCTTCCTGAGATTTTACTTTAATGATGTATAAGAGCAGCTGAAAACTAATATTCATACAAA